ACATTTGATAAATCATAGCAGGATGCAGAAATGGCCACTACTTTTATTGGGTTTAAAAGGGAATTAGACACATTCATGGAGAATAAGTCCATCTGCGGCTATTAGCCATGATGACTTCATCAAGTGTCCTGGCCCCACTGCTGGATCTCCTGATGGCACCTGGTATTTTTGGCCACTGTGTGACAGAGTGTTGGACTGGATGGGCCATTGGCCTGATCCAACATTGGCTTCTCTTATGTTCTCATGACTAATGTACCTCTGAATACCAGTGCTAGGAGGGTTACAGCAGGGGAAGGCTTTGGCTTCCATACCCTGCTTGTAAACCTTCTAAGGGTATTTGGTCGGCCACTGTGGGAAAACAGGGTGCTGGACTATATGGACCACTGGTGTGATCCTGCAAGGCTGCTCTTATGCTATGTAACCATTCAGCAAGAACAGACCATTCGATACTTACCGTGAAGGGTCCTTCACCTCTGAGGAAAGGAGGACATCTTGTTGGGTGATTCCCGCCATTCACTCAGGGAGGCAGGAACAACTTTTTTCTCCTTCCTGTCTCTGCTGTGGGAGTCACCCTCCCTTCAGTTCCTTTCCTGCTTCATCAGGGAGAGCAGTTAGAGAGTAGGCTGTCCTACTTCTGTCTTCTATTTCTCTTCTTATTTGACTTATCAGATCTTTAACTCTTACTGGATCTTATTTCCTGCTGGCTATCCTTTCCTTTTTCGGCTCCCCAGCTCAGGGAAAGAAGAGAATGATGACAGAACTCCTTAAAAGAGCAGTGGCCAATTCGAATTGTCAGCTTGCATAGTTCATCTTTCAGCTGCTCAAGCCACAAATCGTCAGAAGGACAGCGATGGCTTCCTCTCTGAAGCAGAGTTGGAGGCCCCGCTCATGGCAAGAGCAGGAGAGTCCTCGGATCGGGCAGGCACTGACCCTAACAGGGCTGCCTTGGCCACGATAACTCAGATAGCTCTGTCATCAACTCTCTTTGCTCTCGATCATTCATATTCTCACTTAACGTGGATGCCAAGCGTTGAATGAAATTCAGGTACAGAACTGATCTAGGACATAATCTAATCATGATTACTTGGATTAACTGTTTCAGCTTGAGGATACACACTTAGAGATCTGTGGCCTACTACCAGCACGGTAGATGCTTGCCCTTTGTGGCTTATAACATTTAACAATAAGAGGATGACCAGACAGATTCGGGAAGGTATTAATGTCTCTTTAAGAGAGAGATCAGCACAACCACTTTAAGAAGGTGGCAATTTAGCCAGTTCAAAAGAATCCCCACCCCTTAGGACCCTGAGCACTATTCTAGCCACTGGCTAATCACAAATATCCCCTTTTAGGATAAGGACTCAGTGGTTACTAAATTCCAGACATTCTTGGATGACACTACTTATCTAGACCTATTTCAAACTGGCTTCTGGCCCAGGTCTGGTTCTAAAATTGCATTGGCCAGACTGCTGGATTACATACCCGGACAGTACAGCTCCTAAGGACAATTACACCATTCTAAGCCTGTTGACTCCAATGAACTTTTAAAAGGGTGTTGAGGCTGGTAGAATTGCACTGTGAGGAAAGGACAGGAAAGTGCAACCCTATTAATTCTTCTGGACCTCTCCCTAGTTTTTGATTCCATCAAACCACAGACTCAAAGGTAGAATCTGGGAGAGCCACCCTTTAGTGTTTCTACTCTTACATGAAAGTTTGGTTTCAGAAGAGATTTCAGTCATGCTGTTTGGCATTTGCGCTATAGAGTTCTGTCATTCTGTGTAGTAAATCATTCTTTTTAACATGTACATAAAGCCACTGAGTGAAGTTATTTGGGGGCAAAATGTCCTCAGGATACTACCTCTATTTCTCATTTTCATCTGATTCAGGTGAGGTAGTGGAAGCACTGAATGTCTTTGCCTGGAGATGGTAATGGGGAAGATGAGGGCTAATAAACTGAAATTAAATTTTAAGAATACCACTGTAAATTGTTCGTCTGTTCTGGTTAGGGCTATAGATCCTCCAAAAATCAAGTACACAGTTCGGGGTACCATTAGATCTAGCCCTTATCCTGTATGCGCTGCAGGGTATCTGCGGGTATCCGTGGCACAAAGTGCCTTGAACCAGGTTGGGTTGGTGCGCCAGCCAAAGTGCCTTTTTGGATCAAGATTGCCTAGCCACAATTATTCATGCCCTGGTAACATCCAGACTAGACTACTGCAATGTGTTGTACATGTGGCTACCTTTGAGGACTACTCAGAAACTGTAAATAGTCTGGAACATGGCAGCCATGCAGCTGACTGAGACTTGAAATTTAAATAGTATCTTCACTTTTAAATATCTTCACTAGTTTTCTGTATGATTCCAGGCACGTTTAAACTGCTTTTATAATTTGTGAAGCCCTATATAATCTAGGACTATGTTACCAAAGGGCACCTGTTCCTATCTGATCCTGTCTGCTAATTAAGATAATGTTCAAAGACTTTCGCTGGGTGGCCCCACCTTCATAAAGCAGAGGGGTGATCAGAGGTATAGGACCTTTTTCATGGCAGTGCCCCAGTTGTGGAATGCCATCCTCAACTCAGCTAGTCTCAGACAGAGGAATCTTGCTGGTGGTGGAAAGGTTTTCAAAGGTTTTCAAAGCAAGAGACATTCAGAGGTGGTTCGCCATTGCCTGCCTCCATGTCACAACCCTGGTATCCCTTGGTGGTCTCCCATCCAAATAACAGCCAGGGTCAACCCTGCTTAGCTTCTGAGATCTAATCTTAGCTAGACAAATATGCCCCATGCCTTGCCGATCAGATCAGGCCATTATTGTGTTACTGCAGAAATAGCTGAAATGATGAGAAGCCATTAAAATTAACAGGAAGTCAATGAAATAGTATCCTACAGTTCTGTTTTGTTTTAGAAGGGTACCTGTAGACTGCATAGATCATACAAGAAAAAGGAAGGACAGCTGTTGAAGTTACAATTTACTAGGATGACATATCCTTGCAAATTTTAAAGAAAGAGGCCCTTAGATATTGATCTGAAGCAGCTGGAGGTAAAATTGCTAAAGATGGATACGATCAGTCCGACAACGCAAGTTGTTCCCTCCAGCCCAAGCATTCCAATCCATGGTCACTAGCATATTTTTAAGTCATTTGTGCCTCCTTCTGACTTCAAGATTCATGGCAGTTGTGTTATTTAAAAAAACTTCCAAGTTGGCTGTCCCCACTGCTGTTTATTCCAGAATACCTGTTGCCCCTGAGTCGTATTTCATTCTGCAGAAATCACAAATTTTAATCCACATGTAAAGCACAGGCTACTTGCCCATCTGAAACAGTCTTTTGCAGAACATTCAAGTGCATCATAAATAAAATCGTTCAGTCTTGCTGTATTAGAGAAACTTCACGGGAATTTGTTAAAGAAACAGGGCTACTTCCCTTGCCCTCTTGCTATCCACATGCTGATACCAGATTAGCCCTCCACATGTAGCTATGTAATTTCGGCATCATTTTAACGTGTCATGTTTAAATGCTTATGCTTTGTTTCAGGTTGGTTCAGCTCTGTTTCAGACTTCTGCTCTCTTGCACTGTTTTATGGTTTGTCCCACACTGTTCACTGTATTTGACTTACACTACGTCATCTGCCTTGAGTTCCAGTGAGAAAGGTGGACTAAAAATAACATCAATCAATCGACTCCAACAGCTACTAATCTTGAGGCTGCCAATTCTACCCATTGTAGCTGACAGAATGACGAGGACTTTGGGCAAGCCCTAACCACTATTTATTTATGAAGTACTTTGCCAAGATAATAAATGGGATTCTTTTTTTAAAAAAAACCCCAAAAAACTAGCATGTTGATATGTCTCACAGGTCTTTATCTGTCTGCACTAGATCCTGATACTTTTATCCTAGACTAGGGCTCAGATACTATGAAATCATTCCCTTCACGCTTCTCTATGGCCTCTCAGGAGACACTCCTCCATGGCAGAACTCACTTCCTCTGTCCCTAACATCTCTGGTCACACAAGAGCTCCTTGAAAAACACCGGTCTTGTGGATGCGCAAGTACTAGCAGCAGAGGAAGCAAGCTTTGGAGGACAGCCTCCACCCGAGAAGGAGAGAAGAGCCAGGGGAACCATATCATCAGATCCAGGTCTTGATATTTTATCTATTTCCTGAGAGAACACCAGCCTTCTTTCAAGCAACCTGTTTCAGCAAAATGTCAATTTGCTATCAACACAACAATTTGTTCGGAATGTCAGGAGAAAAAACTTTAAAGTGCAATTAATGTCCTTTGAAAAATGCAGCCTCTGTTCTATGCTGTTTAATCAGCCTTCTCTTACAGGGCCGTACCATTCACCTAGCACTTCAAGGAGGCCTGTGTGCAGTTGACAACAGATAGCACATGATGGTATTACTCATAAAGCTCAATGTTTCTGCTCTCTAGATCCTACATACCTGTTACGTCAGCATTCTCGGAAAGGCCCAAACCTCCCACATCAGTTTCTGTACCAACAGCAAGAGAAACAACCTAGCAATCAAACCCCCAATCAAGCACTCAATATGTTCGATTTCCATGATTTCTACTAGCTGGAATTCTCTGGAATTTCTTGTCCACAATTCTATGTTCATAACTTACAATATAGAGGCAGTTAACCCAAGTTTACAAACCCAAGTTCCTTCCTCTCAAAAACAGTGTTTGTTACTCCAAACTGCTTGACCTGCAATCATGTTATTTAACATTTGAAAGAAAGACGGAAGACAGACAGGGATTCTCACAAACCGTGCCCTTCTATATAAACAGAAGCGCACTTAATAAAGTCTCAAAACAATGTAACTGTTATGAGAGCATCGGTACTAATCCAAGAAAGAATCTGCAATGAAATTTTGATAACAAAAAGCATATTGTTGCCATTTCTGTCCGTCAGCAAACCTCTTAATCTTACAAATTGATTAAAATGCCAACAGGAGAAGGGATGAAACCAAATCTAGTGCTAGAGATTGGAAACTACTCACGGCAGCCTCTCTCGTCTGTCCCGTCTATGCAGTCTTTCACTCGATCACATCTGTATGCACTTGGGATACATTGTCCATTGGAACACGTAAACTGCCGATTGGAGCATGTTCGCCCAGCTGCAACAACAAAAAGTGTTTAGAATGGCATCATTTATACACGGAGGGCAAAAAAAGGGGAGTTCTTCTTTTCCTAACCTACCTGTTCTCTGCCTTTCATTGCATAAAATATGTAATTTTATTCTACACAGGTTGAGAATCAGCTGCTGTTCCGCAAATCCACTGTGCACAATATGTATAAAGATGCCTAAGTGACTCCCTCTGAATGATGCAAAGTTTTAGGATCAGTCTCCATGCTTGTATCTCTCATGTGAATGCTCCAAATAATACGTGATGGCCACGGCTATCGCTATCACCCACCAGTGATGTAGCTTTTCCATTGTAAAAGGCCTGTCCCCATCAATAGGAAGGAAACTGGCACGATTCAGCCTACCATAACTGTCCTTAAAAAGCAATCCTAAATAGGTCTACTCAGAATCCTACCAGGCCTATACAATGGAGCTTACTCCCTCCCAGTAAAGCATTCTTACAATTGCACTGTTACTGTCCCCAGGAACGGAGAATGTAAATGTCATCTCAGGCGGATATCTTCATCTTCATTTAATTTGTAGCTTTATTTGTAGCTTTCAGCCATACCTTGTCAGCATTTATTTATGCTTAAACTCTCTCAACATGCTGGCTCATTATTACAGTCATACAGAACATGATCCCTGATCTGAGGGCATCTTTAAGTATGGACTTTATGTAAGTCCAAAAATAAGTACCTCTAAGTTATAGAAGGTACCATTTAAGTAACATTACCCATAAAGCACTATATCCGGAAGCACCTACGAACACACATTACAATTTATCCTTCATCTGCCTTAATCTACCTGCAGCCTGGGTCTCCACACCTTAAGAGCAAACTGTACCCCTCTGCCTTTTCCTACATATTGATTAGTGTCATAAGATGCAACTTGCGGTATCTTTTGTCAGATGATGTGCACAGATGTACATTTTGCCTCACAACTGCCTGGACTGCTTTTGTCAGCAGGGCAACAAAAATCCAGCTATCAGTAAAGCAAATGATGAGACAGATGGGCAAACACCACATTTCCCTATGTCAATCAATTTCAGAAACGGGAGCATTTTTAAAAAGCTCTCTTTGCCATTTCCACCCTACTAACTTCTCCTTTCTCTACATATTTCTGCGTGGCTTTCACAGCCCTGTCAATGCATGAGAAGATTCACACTGGAGTTATTTTCTATGTCTGCCAAAGGCATAGCATTCACTCTAGAACAAGAAGAAGAGTTGGTTTTTTATACCCTGCTTTTCTCTACCCTCATGTGCTTTTCTCTACGCTTTCCTCCTCCAACAACAGGCACCTTGTGAAGTAGGTGAGGCTGAGAAAGTTCAGAGAGAACTGGGAGTGGCCTAAGTTATCCCAGCAGGCTTCATGGAGGAGGAGAAGTAAAACCTGCTTCTCCTGATTGGGAGTCTGCCGCTTTTAACCACGACACCACACGGGCTCGAGTGAGGAGTGCTATTTGAGTCACTACACCGTAAACAATAAGCACATATTCATGCCAAGGACTGCAAATGACATTTGGACTTTGGTGCGGAGCCCCTTTCTGAATCTCTTGAGTTAATGTGCACAAATGTAGACCTGACACACATTCTTCAACATGACTCTGTCCAGGCTTGGGTTAGAAATGTCACTGGATTTTGCCCTATACTGGTTACTTAGTAGAAATGTAACTACTGGCTGTACCACTAAAGGGCACAGGAGGACAAAGGACAGGATGGTTTTGTTCCTTTCTTCAGGAGATAAGGGGGGGGAGAATACTTCAAAGTCTTATCCCTGGTCAACAGTTCAAGGCTTGATTTGCGTTGTAACTAGAAAAGCTGATTTCCCAGAAGATGGGTAACTGACCAGAACCTGGCTTAACAAGTTCTATTAATACTATAAAGTCGGGAAATTGTTAAGCTTTGTCTACACATAAAACCATTAGCAAAGTAGACAATTTATCACCTGCACAAAGCCCAAAGTTCAGGTCAAGATGGGTAGCTGTGTTAGTCTGTCTATGGCAGCAGAAAAGAGCAAGAGTCAGGTAGCACCTTAAGGACTACCAAAATATGTGGTAGGGTACGAGCTTTTGTGAGTCACTGCTCATTAGAAGTGAGCAGTAACTCACAAAAGCTCATACCCTGACTTCCGGTTTTAGCGTTCGCCATGGCAGCCGCTTTCTCCCGGTGCTCCGGGAGATGACTGCCAGAGCCCGCGGTGAGGAGGGGGCGCGATTGTCCACGCCACCCCCAGAGCCTCAGCGTGAGGCTCCCAGCCATGAGACGCCACAAGGCTCTTCCTCCAGCGATCCTGCCAGCGAAGGGGGGCTTTCTCCATCCCCTGAAGGTCCTGCTGCAGAGCGTCCCGAATGGGAACCAAAAAGCGTTTGCCGGCCGAGCAATTTGAAAATGAAAGCGGAACTATCGTTAAAATGTGAGTTGGAGTTTAAGCGAGAAACACCGAAGATCTAGTCGAAAACCTACCCTTTGAAAGCGAGGGGGGGAGGGGACTCTCCCCCGCTAAGAAAAGGTAAGCGAACTTTGTGCTATTATGAAAAGGGGGGTGGACTAGTGAAGTAAGATAGACTGAAATAAAAAGCATTTAAGAACTTACCAAGCTGTATAAAGAGTATCAGAGATTGTGATAACTTTAACAAAAAGTAAACAATCCCCAAACACGGCATCCACGAGGAAGGATGAGAAAGACAAACAAGTGAAACCTAAGCTTCTTGCTGGAACTGCTGGCCCAATTACAGAGCTGCAAAAGATGCTAATGGATGCTGGCCCAATTACAGAGCTGCAAAAGATGCTAATGGAAGCATTGCGACCTCTGCTGGAACAAGTCACGGCATTGCATACCAAATTCGATGCACAGCAAATGCAATTGACTGAAATAGCCCCAAAAAACAGATAAAACTGAACAAGAAGTAAAAGAAGTAGATGCCAACACTAAAAAACTTTTTTAAAAACTGCAGGCGATGGAAAAAGAGTGATTGATGGAGAAGTCTCAACTGTTACAGCTACAAATGGAGAGAGTAAGCTATGTCTTAAGATTTCAAGGTGTTCCAGAAGAAAAGACTGAGAATCTGAAACAGATATAAAAATGGATATACTACAAAGCGAAATAGATATGATCTATAGGTCGTATTCTGAATTTACAAGGAAAAATAATCTGCCTGGGGAAGTGATCATAAGATTCTCGAGAAAACAAGTGAGAGATCAAATTCTCAAAGCGACAAATGGGTCTACCTTGAAAATCACACAAAGAAATAAAAGTGTTAAAGGACATCCCGTTTGAAATAAGAAGGAAGAGAAGGAAATATAGAGACTTGGTGATATTTTTACAAAAGAACAACATCTCCTACAGATGGATGGTTCCCGAAGGCACAATCTTCAAATTCATGGACAAGAAAGAAAAAATTGACTCTGTTGAAAAGGCACACAAATTTCTGCATCAACACAGTCGTCCATTCACACTGCAGCGACTGATGCAGGAGCATACCGGAAGGAGGCGCAAGGGAGCGTTCACACTATTGGCCTGGAGGCACAACTGTAAGGCGCGGCTTTCTTTTTTTGTAATCTGGAGATACACACTTATGCGCATGAGCGCATAAGAAAAATGCGGGTTTTGGCTTCCCCCTTTGTTGGTGCAGGATGGATGTGGGATAATCACGCTTTCCAGGGTTTGCTACCACTTTCACCAGGGAGCAAAGCATTACAAGACGGGTTGAGTACGGGTGGGGAACGCTTGGAAGACGTGCCTGTGTGAATGGCCCCTTTAATCCGGTTGTGGAATGTTTCTGTAACGTGCCTATATCGGGGCAAACTGCCAGTCTGAACTCGGCCAGGGTGTCTGTTATGGGGAGAGGAAGAGAAAGGAGACTGTAAGCCGCTCTGAGACTCCTTCAGGTAGTGAAGACTGGGGTATAAATCCAATCTCCTCTTTTTATTATTCCGATTTCATTGAAAGGAAATATAAGATAGAACATTGGACTTAATGTGAAGGTTCCTTTTGTTTGAGAGCAAGGAGGACATCCTGACACATTTGGGTATTCCTCTTCCCATCATCCTAGGAGACAGGAGCTAGATGGCTCTTTCCACCCCAATGGGGAAGGGAGTGCCTGCCCTCTTCAGTTCAGAGGCTTCCACATCTCCAAAAGATACTACTCCATGTGCCTTGAGTGGCCATCCCACCCTTCTGAAACAACTTAAACCTTAACAGGAAGAAGCAAAAACCGTAGGAAAAAGAGAGAGAAAAATATAGTTTCACAAACTAACTTCCCCATTGGCAGATGGTTCCCCCTCCACTGGAGGCAAAGAAATCCAAAAAAGATTGGGTAGGTCTCCAGGATGTTCTCATTCTCAAACAAAAGGAACCTTCATGGTAAGTCCAATGTTCTGTTTTTGTTTGAGACAAAGGGAACATCCTGGGAGGGTTCCAACACACAAAACACAGGCCTGTCTACACCACCTGCTGCAGCACCCTTTGGCCGAAGGATGCATCTGCTGCTGCCATAGTGTCCATTTTGTAATGCCTGACAAATGTTGACTTGGATGCCCAAGTCTCTGCTTTGCATATGTCTTCCACGGTGGCATTTGTATGGAAGGCTGCCATGGTAGATGCACTTCTGTAGAATATGCCATGATTCCTTCAGGCAGAACAAGACCTTGAGAAGAGTAGGCTATTGATATGCACTCTTTCAGCCACCTGCTAAGAGTCACTCTAGAAACCTTTTTGCCCTGCAATACTGGGTGATATGCTACCTCACAAATTTGTTCAAGAATTTTAGACCCAAAGCTGCTCTACAGTCTCCATTGTGAACTGTGAACAAAATTGAGTAAATTCCTGGGAACCTTTGTGATGATGGGACTGGCTCTACTGTGTCTATGTCCAGAAAGTGTTTTATTGTGTTGAGAGTACGTTGTCGTTTTAGTGGGCAGTTTGAGACTAGGGAGTTCAGGAAGAGATTGGATGGAGGAGCAGAACACTCTATGAGGCAGCCATTTGAGATTGTTTCTTTCACCCATCTGTTGAAGGTAGACCTCACTCAGGTTGCCACTGGGACTCTCCTGGTGTAAGGATCGTTGATGTTGTTGCTTTGTGTTCTTGCTGATTCCAGTTGACTGTCCAGCAGATATGAGCTAGTGACTGGAGTGATAGGAATGTCTCGACTTGTTCCAGACATTTCTTCTGAGGTCTGCTCTGAACCTAGATAGAGTTCTATTGGATTGAAATGCCTGAGTTCCCTAGCCCTTGGAGCATTTGTCATCTTGTTTGTTTGTGGGAAAGCATAGCCTTTCTCTTGTCCTTTGTTTCAATGAGGATGTCATCCAGGCTGTCCCCATCCCTACCGTTTTTGTCCTTTATCATGGACTTTATCATGGACATGTGGTCACATTCAATTTAGAGCATATATCCACTGCCCAGGACTTCAGCCAGAGGTCCCTACGCACTGCCACATTAGACGCCACAGCCCTCGCTGAGAATTTCATGGAGTCTAGCTGGCATCAGCCATGAAGGCGGCTGCTCTCTCCAGCCTATGAAAGTAGACTAGGACCTTCTTGTTCAAGTCAGGGAACTCTCTTAGCAACTTTCAGAGACAGATAATGGTGGCCCTGGCTATAAGTACTGCTGTGCTGAGATAGACAGAGCCATGGATTCATGCAATTTGCATAGAACTGCCTCACTCCTCCTGTCAGTGGCATCCTTCAGTTTGCCTTCCCCTTCTTTAGGAAGTGCTGCTCCTGATGCCAAGCTGGCTACCAAGGCATCAACGACTGGAATTTTTAAGAGGTTAGATACTTTAGAGGAGAAGGCATACATTCTTTTAGCTTGCCCCATATGCACTCCTCAGCTTCCTGTTTAAAAACCTGGGGAAAGGAAAGGCACATCCCAGTTCACTGGGGCTAGACAAGTCTTCAGGGCCCCATCCTTCTCCACCATGTCCTCAGGTTGTTGTACTCTGGGGGGAGAAAGATGAAGAATTTTAAGGGCCTTGTAGAGTAGGGGAGGTAATTCTTCCTGTGTTTACAGTCTTTTAGACTGCTGGCTTTGTTAAGGAGGTTCATCCTCTGAAAATTCCTCATCCTCTGTATCATATTCGTTATTGGAGAGGTAAGGATCTGTGAATGATGTCCCTTGGTTGATCAGGCAGGGGTTTGCTAGTGTCTGGTATTCCTGCAGCCTGAGTAGCACACCTTTTAGGGTGACAGTGAGGAGGGGGGCAGAGAGCTTGCTTACTAGCCTCATTGTGCCTCTTTCTGGAGGTCTGCTTGGGCTTACTGAAGGGTTGTCGTCCCTGTCCCCCCCCCCCATCTGAGTGATAACAAATGAGTGATAACAAATTCCTCCAGTCAAGATTGGAAGGAGTGGGGAACACTAATAATCTCTGGTTGGTTTGCTGCTTGATAACCTTTTGCCGGAATCCAGGTTACAGCTTCCCACTCACTCACCCCTCCAAGCATTTCTTCTCTGGACAGAGAGGCCTGCTCTAGGGAGTTAGGCCTTCCATGCTGCCCTCTACAGGGAGTTTTTGCGCCAATTTGCTCTTCGTCTCCCTTACGGTTTGCAAAACTTCTTGGTTTACGGCTCTGCCCTGGAACTCTAGCGCATTGTAGGGTTGCAGCAAGCAGGTATGCAGGGCTCTGCTGCTATGTTTGCCCAGTAGGATCACCCCCAGCTCTCCTTCTGAAGATGCTGCTGCGGCTGAGTCAACTGAAGACATAACGATCTGCTCAGAAAGGGCGGGGGGAGGAAAGGAAAGAAAGACTGACAATAGGAGCAGCTCCACCCCCTTTTTCCTGTAAAGCCTGGATGGAGGGGAAGACAAATAACTTTTCACGTGGAAGTTTAGGTATACAGAAGAGAAAGATCTTGCAATCGAGCCGCTCTGTGAGAACTGGTGTCCCATGGAGTTCAAAGATTCCGTGCACTCGCTCTGAGGAGGCGGGAAAAGAACTGAAGAGGGTGAGCACTCCTCTCTCCATCGGGGGTAGAAAGAGCAATCTAGTTCCTACCTACTAGGATGACAGGAAGAGGAGTACCCAAATATGCCATGATGCCATCCTTGACTCAAACGAAAAGATGGGATTTCCCCAGATCCAGTAAACCTAAGTCCACAGGTGGGCTAGGCTATAAGAAGTTACCCACATCAAGTCTCTACAGGAAGCCTACAGCTTCTTAGATTACAAGGGAGAGAAATGTATATAGCTCTCTCACTCCACAGCAGAGAGGCCTCACCTAATCACCACAGGTAAGCAAGCAGTAATTTTTACCATTCACAAATGACCAGTGAAATGGCTAACCACAAGCCCAATTGACAAAATTAATAGTTTCAAATTGCAAAAATAATCATTTTGTTCCTTATTTCAGATTGAAAAGATTTCTCCTAAAAATGTATGCCTGTTTTTATACTTACTTACAGTACAGGACAACCAAAATGTTTCCACATTCAAATGCTGAGCTAAGTAGAAGCACAGTTTACAAAGGATAACAAAATGGAATAGGGTTATGTAAATGAATTTTGAAGGAGGAGGAGGAGGAGATTGGATTTATACCCCGCCCTTCACTTGGAGTCTCAGAGCAGCTTACAAACTCATTTCCCTTCCCCTCCCCACAACAGACACACTGTGAGGTAGGTGGGGCTGAGAGAGCTCTGAGAGAACTTCTCTTTCAAGAACAACTCGGACAGAACTATGGCTTGCCCAAGGTCATCCAGCAGCTGCAAGTGGAGAGTGGGGAATCAAACCTGGTTTTCCCAGATTAGAGTCCATGCACTTAAAACCAATACACCAGGTAGGTACAGTAGTCAACGTTTCAACAAACATCAACCCAGAGCTAGATGGGAAAGTTCAATGGGTTAATTCAGACATCATACCAACCCATGTTTAAGACACCTTCCTGGTTAAGTGTTAAGTGTTATGTGTTAAGTGTTATGCCTGAATTGACAAACTGACCCATAAACCAAAATCAGAAACTACGCTTGCATTCAGTTGTCTTGAACGAATCATAGTTTGTGACAAGAATTACTCAGTAAGTCATTAGGCTTGCATGCGGGATCCCTCCTTTGTTTTTTCCTGCAGTGTACGGAGATTGAAGACTTCCTAGTTGGAATGAACCACAGCTTGTTGCAACATCCAAATTAGCTATTTAAACAATCTGTGGTTAGCTTCTTGCCTACAAGCCAGCATTTTAAACCAGGATTAAACAACAGTTTAGAATTCTGGTTTACAAAAACATTCTGAAATATGTTGAAGCATTTGACTCAGACATTACAACAAATTACAGCTAGTTTTAAACCAGGAAGTCTTCAGCACTCCTTCGGGAAGAAGGGGGTAGTGCTCAAGTCTGAGGACTTCCCAGTTCATTCTCCTTACAGACAAACCATTGTTTGTTCATGAAATCTGAACGCATCCTATGTGGGTTAGCAGATCACAGTTTGGGGTGATCATCAATTGAAAAAAGAGAGGTACAGCCATCACTTTGCTTCCAGATGCTGCTGTACTAGAGAGACAGAAGTGAACATATTAAACAGCTGGGAATGCTGGAGGATAGAAAAGAAGAAAAGACGAGTAGTTATAACCCTTACGTTTTCCTGCTGTAATTTACAGTGCAATCCTAAACGGAGATACACCCTTCTAAGTCTACTGAAGTGAACTGACTTAGAAAAGTGTAATTCTGCTTACGACTGCACTGTTAGAAGCTCAAACTATGGTCTGGGTTCTGAGTTACGCTTTGCACAAACCGTGATTTGGTGTGCTGTCTGAACCGAACCAGTGAATCTAAATGACAAGGATATCCAACTAAGAACAGTTCAACTGATGGGTTTTTTTTTTCCCAGCGGCAGTTTATAACTTACGGCATTGTTGATGTTCATCTGAACCATCTTCACAGTCTTCTTCGTCATCACATACCCATGATTGAGGGATGCACTCTCCATCACTCTGGCATTGAAAATGATTTCCTTCACAGGTGGGATGTGCTAGTCAAGGCAATTGGATTTAATTTAATTTGATGTTAGGAAAATAAAGAGAGCTAGGTATTAAAGTTTCTTCTAGGGCTATAAAATGTTTCTGAAAGACAAGGAACACTTCTAAATAGGGGTCAGATACAGATTCCAGTTTCCACAACCCATGAGCCACCCTGGCATGGCTACAGTGGAAGATATTTTTTCACTGGGAGCTATGAAGGTTTCATAATACATCTTTTATTTGCTGTTCCTGCAACAGATATTTTTAACCAGGCCTGTTGGCAACCCTATAACCTAACATCTCCAGCACCCTAAATTAAACTAAATGAGGGGAGAAATGTGACCACAACATAAACACCTCCCTACAAAGGGCCCTCGATCTCTACCAGCTAGAATCTACCCATATAAACTCCTGGCCCCCTGAATGGGTAGCCTTTCATCCTGCGCTCACCTTCTTCGAGTGAGCCATGTTATATATACAGCAAGTCAGAAATCTTTGCTTGTGAAATCAGGTAGCTAAACAAATCTCTTAAAGCAATTCAATGAACTAGGAGACAAGATAATTTCTAATATACAGACACAGATGGCTGAGGTTTCACAGCCAACATAAGCAAGCTTTTAAACCTATTTTTCCCTATTTTGTCATTGTCAGAGTTGCCAACTCTGGGTTGGAAAATTCCTGGAGATCTGAGTGTGGAGCATAGAGAGGGCAGGGTTTGGGGAAGGGAGAGACCTCACTGGGGCACAATGCCACAGAGTCCACCTTCCAAGGCAGCCATTTTCTACAGGGGAACTGATATTTGTAGGCTGAAAAGCAGCTGTAATTCAAAGAGATCTCCAGGTCCCACCTGGAGGTTGGCAACCCTAGCCATTGTTTAGATACACTGATGAGGCCATCTATAGCCCCCAAACATCCAGTAGGCCTTATGTATCTCTGAATTTCCACGGATATTTGTAGAACTATGCAGGCCCGTAGCCAGGATTTTTTAAGTCAGAGACATTTAAATTTCTTAGGGGGCACTGGCTAATCAAATTAAAGGGTAATTTTAATTCAGTTTCTGGGAGAAATAGAGAGGTGCTGTCTGGCTCCGTGTGGCCACCGTAGCTGGTCCTTCATGCCAGACAGCTGCGCAGGAATACTCGGCTCTTTCCCCGCACCCATCACTGCTCAGGGGCCCTTGGCTGGATGGGAAATTCTGGGGACTTGACAGTAAGTTGGGGGGCCTAGCCCAAAGATGCCCCACTGTAGCTACAGGCCTGAACTGTGGCAATATTCATCTCACCATATCACACAGTCTTAGGGCAATGGGCAACATCTTCTCCGGGTAATCAAAGATGCCAACAGTGAGATTAAAATGTCTTCCACTTATGGGTGTGCATTCGGTTTAACCAAGCTGAAAAAATACCCGAAAAATACCTTACCACTGGTATTTTGGGGGTATTTTTAAGCCAGTTACTGAATGGGGCTCAATTTTGGCTATCGGAAAAAGTGAAGCCCCCAAAATCCCCAAAATATTCAGGATGTTTGGACCCACCAGATAGCCAAACTTAAAGGAGGAGGAGGAGGAGGAAGAGATTGGATTTATACCCCACCCTTCACTACCCAAAGGAGTCTCAGAGTGGCTTACAAACTCCTTCCCCTCCCCACAACAGACACTCTGTAAGGTAGGTGGGGCTGAGAGAGTTCTGACAGAAACTGCTCTTTTTCAAGGACAGCTCTTATCAGAACTATGAATTACCCAAGGTCATCCAGCAGGTGCAAGTGGAGGAGTGGGGAATCAAACCCAGTTCTCCCAGATTAGAGTCCGTGCACTTAACCACTACACCAAACTGGCCCTTTAAATGCCTTCTCCAAGCCATATGACTATAATGGTCCCCATAGGGTATAATAGAGCAAAACAATTTCAGCTTTCCGAAATATTTACCAAATCTGAATATCATACCCATATTGGGATTCGGGAATATCAGGAAATATTGGTATTTTGGGGGTTCAATATACCCAAACTCGAAAAATACCGGTGTTTTTTTCCCACACCCCTACTCTCACTTTAAAAATCCTGCTAGAACAACAAGGGTCCATCTAGGGCACTGCTCTTTTCCCAGTGATGACCAGAAAATGCCTGCCTGTGAACCTATCTACCTACTGCATAGCACGAAAGCAAGATTCCTCCCAAAATATTTCTCCCCAGCCTCCAGTACTCAGAGGCATGCTGCTTCCAAACACTCAGGTTCCAATTAGCTATCATGCTAACACCCCCAGATAAAAACCTGCCCTCCAGAAATCCAGATAACCCTTTTTTGAAGTCAATCTGGGCCTGATTTAAATAGGCAAGAAATGAGATTAGAAAGAGGAGGTAAAAGTAATAGGTGACAGGATGGACTGCATCAAGTCAGACTACAGGTGGAAGATCATATGTTGGAACATTCCCTAGCATCAAGTCAGACTACAGGTGGAAGATCACATATTCCCTTGTACTGAAAACCAGAAAAGCAAAGATAGAGGATAAAAGCTTTCTCCTTGCTGTGCCGTCCACTGAAACACATGAAGCAACCTCACACTGAGCCAGACCTTTAGGCTATCAAGGTCGGCACTGCCTTCTCTGACTGGCAATAGCTCTCCGGTTTTCAGAGAGAGGCCTTTCCCACCACCTACTATCCAAACCTTGTAGCTGGAGATGCCGGGGACTGGATCTGGGACATTCTGCATGCTCTGCCACTGAGCCACCCCAGTCCATTCTACCACCTCATTCTCCGGCATGTTTAAACCTGGCCATCAGCTGGATCTACATGCGCAGCAGAGTGAGGTGGTAATGAAGGGGCAAGGTGTTAAGGTGCAGAATCAACAGTTCCGCTGCGGACAAGACGCTACATTTTTCAAAGTTCCCCTACGTTAATAATCCCCCATAAGTGGAAAAGTAGCACTGCAGGCAAAGGGCAAAGCTAGAACCTTTCTCCTTGATGGCCTAATTTTTATTTATGGGATTTTTATATGGAGGAACATTAAGAATGTGACACAAATGCATGAACGGTTTGATATCATACAGCCCATCGTGCCACTTCAGAGTTTTACCATCTCAGTCCTCTTCATATGTAGACTAGGCCTGAATTAGTTGCTATCACCAAATAGCGTAGATCATTTGATTCCACCTCCTAGCCTGAGCTGAACAAGACTCATTTCAACTGGTTATAACAAGATTTGATAGAACAGCTTTTCCACCCAATAAGGACACAATGCTGTTTACAACACTGTTCTCTCCTCCTCCATTTTATTCTTACAGCAACCCTGTGAGGTAGGTCGGGCTGACAGAGTGTAACTGGTCCAAGGTCATCCAGTGAGCTTCCACATATCACAGTGGGAATTCAATCCTGGTTCTCCCAGATCATAGTCCAACGCTCTAACTACTATACCATACTTGACAGATGTATGTGCTGCTTTTCCTGAAAAGCTCAAATCTTGACTCCACTTACGACAGCCAGCTTCATCGCTGTCATCTGAACAGTCCTTTGCTCCATCACATCTCCAGTCTGCAGGAATACAACGGCCATTCCCACAACGAAACTGCCCACTTTCACACCCTGCAAAGCAAACAATAAATGTAGGTAATGAATGCTGAACAACAATGTATACATTGCCATCAATAATCACAGCTCCAACAATAAGGTCATATTTTCACAGAAAAGGGCACATTCTTCTTTCAGTAGACAGCTCAGTAGACCAGATTCAGTAGACACGATGTGTCCACAAGTTAAATATCAATTAATACATAGCGTAAATCAGATTGCTTATATGATTGTAATTACTTATTACATTAACAAGAAGCCAAAAATAAAGGAAAAGCTCCCACAATAGAAGAAGAGATTGGATTTATACCCTGCCCTTCACTACCTGAAGGAGTCTCAGAGCGGTTTACAATCCCTTTCCCTTCCCCTCCCCACAACAGACACCCTATGAGGTAGGTGGGGCTGAGATAGCTCTTTTGAGAACTGCCCTTGAGAGAACAGCTCTGAAAGAACTTATGATTGACCCAAGGTCACACCAGCAGCTGCATGTGGAGGAATGGGGAATCAAACCCAGTTTTCTCGGATTAGAGCCTACGCTCCTAACCACTACACCAAACTGGCTCTCCATAGTCCAGGTATTCATACTGAAAGACATGGTGTACCATTCACAAAATATGTTTTACTAATGTCTTTTGGCAATCCCTGTAAGGGATTCCCATGCAATCACAACATGCAGACAGAAGAGAAACAGTCAGCCTGCCCATGTTTCAGTTTTCTTTCCTGTGATGGTTGGTGAGCCCTTCCTGTTCCCTTCCTGTGCCTTCATTCATCCCATAAGAAAGTTGCAAAGGAACGGAACTTTGGACTTACCATGAAGGTTCCTCCTCGAGGGCAAGGAGGACACTCTGATATGTTTGGGTTCAGTGTTCCCTCTAAGCTGAGTTAGTGTGAGCTAGCTCACAGTTTTTTAGTCTCCAGCTCACACATTTTTGTCTTGGCTCAGGAAGGATGGCTCCAGAGCCCACTAATTTATGCAGCAGCCAAATTGCTCACTCACAACTTTAATGCCAGTAGCTCACAAAATAGAATTTTTGCTCACAAGACTCCATAGCTTAGAGGGAACATTGCTTGGGTTCCTCTGTTATCAGCTGCGGAAGTCTCCAGACTGAGAGTGGGCTCCCCCTTCCCCCCGAAGATGGAAAGTGCAATCAATTTCCTGCCTCCAGGGATTGTAAGAAGAACCCAAGTGTATCAGAGTGTCCACCTCCCCTTGAGAGAGAATGGGTATTTCAATGCAGGTAATGAATGTCTCTTCACGTCACTTATACAGGTACGGAACAAACCTTCCTCCAGTGTGCTGTAGTATAACACTGTTCCATTTCCCTGTTCCATTCCCACATTTCATTTCATAAACAGACACACCTGACATGAAACAAAACTACTAACATCTAAAGTATAAATCAACACATGCAGCAAATGATAACCCATCACAGATTAATCACTGCAGGTAGACAAGTGTTTTCAATTGAGACATTTTGTATGTGGAGCTGAGAATTGTTGTCTTGAGTAATCTAGGAGCTGGAGATCAAGTGATATATACATGGGCCTCTGAAGCCCTTTATACTAGAGAAAATCCAGCATGCCTTCCCATCTACATTTTAATACTATACTTTTAAAAAACACTGATTTAGAAATTCTGGGACACATGAGGAAAATAACTGAAGGTTCTAATTCTATAAAACCACATTCAGGCATTACATTATTACTAACATAAGAGAACAATACCTTTACTCCTTCTAGTGTCACAAGATGGGGAATTTATGTTCTTGTGGCTGTCAGGAGCTACATGATCTCTAGCACAAGGACTAAAAGAAATCTGGGCAGTTGAGTATGTGTTCCCTATAAACATATTCAATCAAGTATTGTTTGACATCGCCTTAGGAACTATAAAGGTTGAAAGCACACAGGAAACAAACAAAACAAAAAACTCTTTCTAGTTGTGTGTAGTCTATCAAAGCTAAATAGCCCCTTCTCTTAATAAACAAGTGCCAAAAACAAATTAAATTCCATTATACTAAACGACCCATCACAAAGAAGGAACGGCCGGCCGTTAAGTTCTCACAATGAAATAAACAGACAACAGGTTATCTAAGCTCTGACAGAAAACCAGCCGTATCACCACTCATAAACACAGCTAAGTGATATACTCTTTCGGGATGTACCATAGGAAAACTGCTTTACGTGAGGAATGTTGAAATCTGATTGTCTGGTAGTGACATTCTGATTTATAATGTATCCTGCAAATGGTCAGATATTTCTCCTGGATAAATGGTGGTACAGAGTGGTACAGCAATATGTACACCCAAATACCTTCTAGACTAATGTATGATGGTGGTTAGTGGTGCAGGTCTGGGGTTGGTGGTGCAGGTCTCTTATCAAGTACCTTTAAAAGCACAACAACCTCCCTTGCAAAAATGCCCAGAAGGAATGTACAAACGCATGCTGGAATCTCTCTGGCCCTTTGATTGAATTCTGTCTGGCAAACGAGAGATTTAAAAGATTTAACTGTTCACAAAGAAGAACTACAACTTCAAAGGAAATACAGTGTGAATGACTTTTTAAAAACCACCATATTAGTTCATTTGCTTAAAAACAAAAACAAAAAAATGAACATGTTTTTGGGAATAATTTGACCCTTTTGTTAAAATGTGTATTGCCTCTGAGACATATGTGTTACACAATGACCTTTAAATATATCCTTATGATCATATATGGGGGGGCTGGGAACCCATCCATCCAATCTTTATGCTACTGAAGACAATTATGAAACTCCAGCTATGGTTTTGTATGAGCTACACCTATGAATTCTTCAGCACAGCCTGACTCCATGATAAATACCCAGATTCCATAATAAAATGGGGAGTGTTCACAATTAAGACCAAAGCATTATTTGCAGAGATGTACCATCTGCCTCTTGCATTCAAACTCTAGAGTCATTGTGTAATTATATAAAATGGAACAAATGTCTGTACTGAACACATATGTGTCTCTGTGTGTAGATACAAAACTTAGTTCATATTATGATAAAAGAATATGTTTCAAAACCACTCATGGACAAAAGCAGTACATCTGACTTACCAACAGAAATGGGCCTACTGATTGAAAACAAAAAAGACTCTACCATCTTATATAACATTATGACCAAAAATAAGCCTTGCTTATATGGCCAAGTTTAACTACACAAGGATCCAAAATAGATGGCTTGGAGCAGACCTGTCTCTATAAACAAGGGTCTGCCCAAATCACATATGAAGTACAGTGGGTGGTAGCCAATTTAAAGAGCAAAAGAGGTATGTTGGTGAGGGGTCCAGAACCCTTCATCTGCCTAGACAACTTTCCCACCGTTAGGTGCTTTTCTCCTAGATTGGTTCAAACTGTAGGGGGGGATAAACTCTGAGAATGGTGAGGTTCCTCAACTGTTCCTCTTTAAATCAGATCTTCCCACAGCACATTCTCCGCTTTATCTGCAACCAGAGTTACCCACATTAAGGAGACACATCTGCATCAAACAGGCTGTGGATGGAGGAGGGCATTCCATGATCTTAAGACATAAAGGTCAGTTGAGATCTTGCTAGAGCTGCCAAGTCTCCTGGACTGGCTGCAGACCTTCCACCAGCAGCTGTCTTCTCCTGCCACTGCTCAGTGGGCCAATGGGAGAGGAAAAGGTGGGGATCAGCATTGCTGGCAAGATTCCTTTTGGCACAACCCAAAAGTGATATCACCACCTGGGGCAACACTCTAGCATTTGGCCAAAACACTATGGTTAAATCACGGAGTTTTGGACAAATGCTACAGTGTCATCCCTACATAATGAGATCACTTCCAGGTTGTGCTGATAGCGGTGTCGCCAGCAATGTCTATTCCCCCCATCCAGTTCCAGGCCCCACTGGCCAGAGCTGCCCCACACAGACATGCCAGCTGGTCTCCTGCTGGTTGCCAGCCTGAGGGCTGAGGTGGGTCACAACTGATAAAGGGGTATTTTCATGGTGGTCTTCTCCTGGAACTTATTGTCACTAAGGAGACATGAAAGACTTTTTTTTTAATTTCAGCCACTGATTTGGCTTGACTGGTAATAATTATTTTGTTCCTGTGCCCTAATATTAGACTACTTGATTTTATCTTCTGATTTTGCCCTGTAAGGTAAGCTTTGCCTACTACTTTGTAATCAGTTTATTTCCAGCTGTCTGCTGTTTGGTTTGTTGTTGTTAATGAATTGTTTTATTGATCTTGAGAGCTGCCTTGAACATACCTGGAAAAGGGCTATAAATACGTTTATATCTAAATAAAGAGAATGCATGGTGCCCTCTAAACAGCCTAATTTACACATGTTTTGAGATGGCTAACATCATGACATTACTTTGCCTTTTAAAAGTCACATGGTAAAATGGTTATGTAATAGCCCAAATGTAGCGTACTTGCTAATGGGGGGGGGGGGGGGGGAGTCTAGAAAACGAGCAAGTACTAATTTTACAACCAAGGTCCTTTTAACAAGAATATTTTACCAAGTGACCCTTAAGAAGTTCCCCAACTGTGGAATATCCTTCCTCTGCCTAAGTCAAGTCTGAAAACAAAATAATTTTTTTTAAAACAATGTCTTCTGGCTTTTTTATGGCAAGGGTTTTAATATTTGCAAGAAGTTTTGTCAACTGTAGTTAAACTGCTTTATTTCCTGTCTGTATTATCACCCACGCTATGCTTTGGGATGGAGCAAGCTACAAAATGAACAAGTGTGTAAAACAATCATGTGAATTTGGCCCAGTATTCATTCTGTCAGGGCTGACTGATTAGAGTGTCCACTTAGCCTAACACTTTCAGTACATAAAATTTGGCAAGCTGTGAACTTCTTCCCCATCATGTTGAGCGGGGTGGGGGGGGGGGGCGGGGGGGGAGCAAGGGAGAATTTTTTTCACAATATTGTTGCTTGCTTAGGTCATTCCAGTGGGGATTTTAATTAAGGTAGTGGGGGTCCTTGTGGGCCTAGCCCCCTCCCTCTCCCTTTGATCTGCTGGCCCTCA